GGTTGGAAATGTTGCATACCGAGATAGCCTTACCACCTTTTCTCTCAAATCTTCATGATGTATTCCATGTGTCACAATTGAGAAAGTACATTTCGGATCCAACACATGTCCTAGAACTTGATCAAGTACAGGTGAAGGAAAACCTCACCTTTGAACCAAGTCCTGTTAAGATAGAACAAAGAAGGATTAAGCATCTAAGAGGAAAAGATATTCCACTAGTTAAGGTTATCCGGGATGATGTTAGAGGCGACACTACATGGGAACTGGAAGAGAAAATGAGAAGTGAATACCCTTATCTATTCACATAGAATGTATTACAAATTTCGAGGACGAAATTTTATTTAGTAGGGGAGAATTGTAATATCCTAAATTTTGTAATCAATTATATAAATAAATTTTGTAAGTTATAAATATGTACCGAATATTATGTAGAGTTATTATAAAAATAAAACATGATTTTTATAGTAATTTTGTCTTAAGAAAATTATAAAATCCAAGGTTAATATTGTGTCAAATAATAATTTAATAATAAATCTTAATAATAAAAATTAAATAAATGAGTAAATAAATATTTAGAAAAAAAAAAAAAGATAGAAACAGAAGGTCGGTGGTGGCCTAAATACATTTGAATTAAGTCGGTGAAGAATCGGAATTAAATTAAGGCGGTGGAGAATAAAGAGAGCGAAGAAAATTCTAGAAAGAATTAAGTCGGTGAGTAAGTTTATAAATAGGAGGAAGCTGGAAACATACACCAACACAATTCACGACCAACTTGAAGAATAAACCGAGAGACACCAGAATTCTTGGAAGAAGAATTCGAGAGAAAGGAGGAAAGGAGGAGCATACAAGATTAGGAGAGTAATAAGATATTGAGGAATCGGGTATGGGTTAGACGTTTAGTTTTATTCATTCAATGTCTCGTAATTGGAGATTACTATTCATCAATTGCAAAGATTGAAATATTGTTGAAATTCTTTCAATTAAGAATGAATTATATAATAAAATTGTTGTTTTTAACTTAAATTGAACATATTTATGGTTTAATTGTGATTTGGAACAAATTTGAGTGATTGAAACTGAGAAATTTGAAACTTGGATTTCGAAAATGGCGAGCTGATGAAAATCTGCAAAACTCGCTCAAGCGAAAAATATGTCGCTTGAGCGAGGACACCTGGAAATTTTGGGATTCTCGGGTTCTTTATCGCTCAAGCGAAAAATACATCGCTTGAGCGACTAAGGGTCATGCATCGCTCAAGCGACCGGTGTACTCGCTTGAGCGACGAATGCTTCAAACAAAAGGGGACTCTCGGGTCATGCCTCGCTCAAGCGACCGGTGTACTCGCTTGAGCGACGAAAGCTTCAAACAAAGGGGATTCTCGGGTCATGCCTCGCTCAAGCGACGGATGTACTCGCTTGAGCGACGAAGCCTTCAAACAAAAGGGGACTCTCGGGTTCCATCTCGCTCAAGCGACCGGTGTACTCGCTTGAGCGAGCGAAGGAAGAAGAAAGGACTAGGTGGGAATTTTTGCAAAAGATCAAGGGTAAAATAGTCATTTCACATATTAGGGACATAAATGGAATTTTGAAAAATGTTAAGGGTATAATCGAAATAAAGTCAAACAGTATATTACCTCCTCTTTGTTTACTAGGAAAACGACTCAATAAACGTTAGAATTTGAGGATAGTGCCTTCATCAAAGTTATAGATTATTATGTTATCTTTCCAACACAATTGGAATCATCTTAAAATGAGGTCTAGAACTCAAGATATGGACAAAACACTGAACCCTATGAAATAAATTATTAATAAAAATTGTCTTGCTTAAAACAACTATGAATTGTAATTAAAATTTTGAATATATGAAGGAGATGTTTTTAAGTATTTAATTGATGATAGATTGTTTTGTTTCATACGAGACATAAACATAGTGCATGAAATGTTTTCTGGAAGTCACGGAAAAGTTTTTACGAGAAAAGTATTTGGAAATTTCTCTTAAGTTGCTACCAAGGACGGTTGGTAGGAATAATGATGTGTAAAACAGAATTTTTACATTTTACGTGAGTCAATTTACTATCAAGAGTATCCGGTAGTGAAATATGACTATGAAAATGGCTGGCCAAAATGAGACAGAGAATGAGTTATTAAAAATTGAGCTACCGGAATCTCGATAGTAAATGGGGGAGTAGAATAGGTAAGACAGGACCTCCGGTCTATGGGGATGGACCTCTGGTCTAGGGAGTGTTTGGGCATGGGCAATTCCATAAGTGGCCGGTCTTTATTTGATTACGTGCCGTGGTAGCCTGCAGGTGCACCGACACTCGACTACTGTCTACTTGTTCGCGTTTAGTGGGACATTGCCGAATCACCGGACAGGGTGATGTTAAGCTACGGTTCCACTAGACACTCAAATGAGTCTCCATGGAGCACCGAGTCAAAAATAAATTTTTTATTTTGAGTCAAAAGTATGATTTTAAAGTTTTACGTTTGGAGTCACATGTGCATATCATAAACATATTGCATGATAAAATTGTAAATTATTCATGATTTGTACGATATTCTCTATTATGATTCCATGATTTATTTATTTGTTTCTCATAATTAATTTTTAAATTAAATTATATACGGTTGTATATTTATTAGAAGGAATTTTTCATTGGTTGATTTTATCGTATGAATGTTTGCTTTATTTGTTGTGGATAAAATTAAATGTCTAACCCCATAAATATTTCAATCCCGAGATGTTGGTGACGTATGATGCAGGAATATATAGTCCAAGAGATAAATGTCGGATGCAAAAATCCAGAGCTTAGGCTGGGAATTGTATAACATATAAGTATAACTTCATGACTTGTAATATTTTGAAAACTTTGTACTAGAACTTGTTGCTTGATTTAATATAAAATCTTACCTAAATTAATTGTTCACTTAGTATATTTTCTATTAACCTTCTATGAATATTGAAAATATTACTAACTTAGATAATAAATTAGAATTAATAAATATAATCTGTAAGGGGGTTACAGTGAACACGAGTAACAATATAGACACACACAATAATTTGCAGGATAATGTGTTTAATTTGTGTATATTTGTGATAAACTGAAAAGTATTGTTATATTCCATTTCGAGTTATGGGTATTCTTGTATAGGAGAATACATCATTAATAGTTGGTTACAAACTAAAACGTGACCATTAAACCTAAGAGTTGAAATTAAATTCTAACAATTATTATTAGAATTTTTATATTATTTTTTATTTTAGTAATATTATTCTTACTATAATGAATAATAAATTAAATAATTATTTGTATTATTAATTTAATTAATAATTATTATTATTATGATTAATATTATTATTCTGTTATTACTAATACCAAAATAATATTAACAATAATATTAATAGTAATATAATAATATTATTATTATTATTTCTAATAATTATAATAATAGTTTTTAATTAACATAATTATTATTTATTCTTATTATTATCTTAAAAATTATGAATAAATAAATAAAATAATTAAGTATATTAAAATATTAATAATTATTATTTTATTATTAATTAAAACAATTGTAATATAATAATAATAATTATTATTATTAAAAATATAATTTCATAAAAATAAAATATTAAAGTCATGCTGTTAAGCATGTGCTTCGTGACACAACTAAAGTCTTAATTGTTTTAAAATTTATATATTTTAATAATTTTTTAGAAATTACACTAATAAAATAGCTTGTTAGTGTGATGTAGTCTCACATTTTTAAAAAATTAAAATAATTACAATATGACCCAATTATTCTATACAATTAAAAAAAAACAAAATCAAAGATTAAAATTTCTATCTATTTTTTTAATCTTTTCTCATAATATAATTATTATGTGTTTGCCAATTATTTTAAAAATCAAACCAGTTAAATGGTTCAATAAGAAATTGGTCTAAAAATTACTTAAAATTGAATTGTAATTAAATAGAAAAAATCGATGAAACCAATTAAAATTTTGAATAGAAATTATTTTTGTAAAAATCAAATTTTTTATATATAATTTTTTATAAAAAATATATATATATTTTTTATCATAACTTTAAATAATAGTTATATTATTGAATTTTAATTTTACTTTAACTATTTTTCATTTCACATTCAATAATATATTTTCCACTGTAATTTACTTTTCCATCTCACATTCTTTATAATTTACGGAATCATGATAATAATCTTTATTATATTTTTTATTATATATAATAATATTATTTTATTAAATTTGATTAAACTCATGATTAAACCTTTAAAATCATGAATTCATGTTTGGTTGAGTGACCGGTCCAATTTAAAATAAATTGGTGTTTGCTATTCAATTGTTTCCAACTATATCCAAATCCACCATCTAAGTTCACATTTGGTTTAAAATTAAAAAAAGTATTATTCCAAATTTCAATACGAAATTATGTGTTTCAATGCATGAAATGAGAATAAATGATTTGTTGTTTCTGAAATAAATACGAATGACCTCTTTCAATTTTAATTCAAACACACAATAGTGTTTTCTATATTTTCACTTTGATAGTTGGAAACGTTAAATGTCCTTTAAATAGGAAACATTCACATCCTAAATATGTTGTTTTTCTTAGTTGAATGGCAATTTAATCCCTAAAATGTGTCATCTTTCAACAATGCAATTAAGAATGCATTAGATTATTGTATGCGCATTCAAGGGAGCAAATTTGATATATTTACATATATGACACATGGTGTGAAGAATATCTAATTAATATTTGTCAAGAGAGTCACATTTATTGGACAAAAAAGTAGACACACTCATGTATTTTTCCTCACTATAATATTGTTGGTTGGCTATCAATACATGTAATGCTTAAGCTAATAGTACTAAATGAAACAATTCACATGTGTAAGTAAAGGTATAATTGAGATTTTAGTTGAGAAAACTTCCTAATTCACATAATGTTTGTAATGATTTGAAAAGTTCATCTACAATGTTAGTTTTTATCTTTGTATACAGGAGGCCTTTTGTTTAGAATTGTACTTGTATTTTCCACATTAATGAGAGTATCATTCTCACCTTCTCTTGCCTGAAAATAATAGGAATAGCAAAGAAACAGAAAGTGGGTTCTTTTAGTCCATAATCAAGACAAAATAACAGAGATATGCAAAATGACTACAAACCTGTGGCAGTTGTGGAACTTCTGTAACTTTTTGTTGAGTCTCAAGAGTACAGTGGTAAGAATATATAATCATCCCAGCCATAGCTACCATGATCCCTAGTATGTTCCTCCAATTGAAAGGATCATGGACAATAATATATCCAAAAGCCAATACAAGACATGTCTTCAGATGTCCAAGGACTTGATAGGTGACTGGAGAAGTCCTTCCAATTACAAGGAATGTACTAAAATTCACAGCGATAGAGATCAGACATGAAAGAATAATGACCACCTACAATGCAGAAATAACAATAATACATCAACTAAAAAAAGAATTTACATTCCAAAGTACCATATGTCAACTCAAATCTCACCGTCACTTGTGTTGTGTATTTGAAAGAAAAAACATTTAGGTTTGTCAGAAGTTTATCCAAATATGGTCCAGAGATTAACAAGGTGGCTGCTTGATATGGACATGATTGATACAAAAGTTGGGTAGAAGAAACCTTAAACTTCTTTTGAATGGTATTTGTCATCTGATAGGGCTAATTAAGATCATAACAAAGAATACATATGAGCATGCAATTAGTATATCATTCAAGAAAAAAAAGGAAACCTTTTCTTGAGCTATCATACACAAAAAAGATATACTTATGTTAAGTTAGTTCAAATAAAATGATTAGTAAGGTTCATACAATATATATTCTAAAATGCTAAATGAAACTTAGATTAGCATGCTTTTTGTTATATAATTAATGCCTTGATTATCATGAAGAAAAAAAACATAGGATTAAAAATCAGCATTTGAGTCACATTTATTTTTTACTAAGTTGTTAACAACTCATTTGTCATGAAAATCAGTTTGAAAACACTAATAATTAATGCATATAAAATCTAATTAAAGCTTAACATATTTAGCTAACAAAAGTGGAAATTTGATTAAGGATACAATTTGAGCAACACATGTAGTAATGACTGCTAGTAAAGATAACAATGAGCCCAAAGCATTGAGCTGCACATCAGTAACTGTAGCAATTCCAACACCCAAAAGGAGGATTGCAAGGGAAAATTGTATTCTTTTACTGCAAGGACAATAATTGTAACCAATTAATAAATCAAATTAGTAGATAATTGAGCCAATGTCCTAGACACCAACATCCTTATCCCACAATGTCAAATTGAGGCAATAATGACACAAATAAAAGAAATTCAGGATAATTGATAACGATAATATCAATGATAGTTAATGTCAAAACAACAAATGAAATTCATAAGTGCCTTCAAATTTGTCAGATGTCAAATGGGACAACACGGCACATAAGATGTTGACAATCACATGAACGACATGATGGAACTAAATAAATTTTAGGCACATACAACCTTAATAAAACATAGATAGTTAAAGAGATTAATCATAAAGCCAAATTAATGTTAAAAGGTTAAATAAGACCTGAATTTCTTCCCAAGAAAAAGGATCTCCAATAGAACCGTACAGGGGATGATTGCCAACTTAGTCATCTGAATGCAAATACAATAGGTTTGTTCACATAATCTTTAAAAGCTGCTTAAACAACAAAAATCAAAATAACACATGAGAAAAACATACAAAGAAATAAAAAATATCACCTGATAAAAGCCAACAGAATTGAAGCCCAAACTCAAATTTAAAAGTCCAATAGAGATTCCATTTAGAATTCCAAATCCCATCACAGTTTTCTTCTCAAAAGGTTTGTGCTCAAAAAATCTCAATTTTAGTGCAACATGAAGAGAACAAAATGTTACAAGCAAATGCCAACTTGTCAAAGTTGTAGCTGCATGGGAATCCAAGGATATGTATTAAAATCTCAACTTTAGGATGTTAACACTTCAAATGTAAAGTGACAAGTAATTTTCACTTGAATTGAATTGAAGAAATAAAAATTATATATGGATATAAGCTACTAGTTACAACTTCTTTGATGCTTCCCCAAAATATCACTGTGGTATGTGGACATTCTCTGTTTTCATAATAATTATAATATAGTTTTTTATTTTATTTTTAAATATTTATGCAGGAAATAGAGAAAATATTTGTGCAGGTTTCCTACTTTCAAAGATTTGCATAGCAAATAGAAAAAGAAAAAGGTTTTCACATATTCCTTTTATAAAGATTTAAAAACAAGGTGGTAGTTTTTAATTGAAAGAGCAAACAAAACATGTTTGTCAAAGTAAACAAATAAGATTTCGTCGTATTCACTATTTTTCATACAACTTTTCTTTGTCTTCACTAATATCCTCCTTCTCTAGAGGTAATCCTATTTGAGACAATGTTGAACACATTCCCAGCGTTAATTCACATTGTGGTTCACCATCATATGAGATACTAGCCCTTTTCATCACATTTAATTTTGAAACAACTGAATGAGTGATAGATGAAAACACACAAATGGAAGCATCGCAATTTTAATAGTGACCAAGAAAAGACATCAATTTGCAAAGAACCAAACCCTTTACGAACTTACCAAAGATGAAACGCAACGAACTCATCAACGTCTTGTTGCAAATCACAATCGACACCGACGACGCCACTGACAAACTCAATGCGCCAACAGTCCCCAATTGAAATTTCTCTCCCTCGCCTATCTTTTCCTTTGTTGCCCTAAATGAATCAAAGCATAAAACATATAACAAAGGAACAAAATGAAGCCTAACATGACAACATTGAAGCAAAAATCTCCAAATGTTGCAGATTTAGCCCAAACGCAGAAAAGAAAAAAACAACTAAAGTCGATAAGAATGTTGGAAAAACTTACATAAGAAAGATTTGAATCTGGGAGTGAAACTAAATGGGTGACAGCGGAAAGCGGGAAAAAGCTCTTGGATCCAATGATTACAGAAAATCTACGACTTTGCGGTCATGGATGGTTGTGGGTACAAAGGAACTTAATGGTTAACACATAAACTGAGATGAAAGGCGGTTCAGTGAAATGAAACATAAATGGAAAATGGAAACAAGAAATGAACTTAGAAAGCCAGAATTGGAGGAAGATGGCACTCGTGATGGCATTAAAAGTGAAAATGCATATTATAATGTGTTCTTGTTGTCATCACATATTCGGACAAAGAAAGAAAGAAAAACTGAAATTTAGTGTCCAAAAGCTAATAAACAAAGAACATTTCATCATGTTTGGAACTTTACTAAAATAGTGTTGGTTTTACTGTGTCCACTTTTTGTTATTTTTTAACTAAAAAATGACGAATGGTGATGCACTTTTCTTGAGGTTCCTTTGCGTCCACATATAATAGTCATAATATTTTTTTATACAATTTATTGATTGTATGAATTTTGTAGTGTTGAGGTTTTTGATAACACATTAATAGACAATTTTTATAAAAGACAAATTTTTCATACTAATGTTTCAAATGTTTATATTTTTTAATTGTTGATTGTTTTGTAATTAACAATTATTGACTTTTTTATCATTGTTACTGTAGATTAGATTTTTTTTAACATAATTTATAACTGTTTATGAGTAGAAAATGGTTTATATCTACACTAAGTTTGACTTTTTTTTATATAGATTATATCAAATATAATTTATAAAATATTTTCTTAATTTCTCAAAATAATTTTGATTGTCTTAATGTTAGACAAATGACATTTAGAATAGTGAATAAATAGACAAATTAAAATAGATGTCAAATTAAAAATTTATTTTAAGATGTCCAATATTTATTAATTCAATTTTAATTATCAATTTGAACAAAGATAAGGCGTAAGCGATATAATGAGAGAGATAAAATATCAATAAGATAGAGAAAGATAGAGATAAAAATAAGAGGTGTAAGGAGAATAATGCAATAAAAAAATATAAGGGAAAGAGAAGAACATATAGTGGTTTATATTGGTTCGAAGTATAGTCATCCATACATCCAGTTTTCAGTCAATTCTTAACACAAGAGTTACCCCAATTTATTATCTTTTAAATTCAGTTCACAAATTACAATCAACTCAGTAAAAGTAAACTAATTCAAAAGACAATTAAAATCAAAGGATGAACACATCTCTTTAGAATCTCACTAAGGATGAACATCTCCCTAGAATCTCACTAGGGATAAAAACACATCCCTGAACAAATAAAAGGAATGAACCATTTCTATACAGGAAACCTAACAAAATACAACTCGAATGATCGTAACTACTTAAACCTTAAACAGGGAATTTAACAATAAACTACTTAAGCCCATAAAGGATGAAGGTAATAAAATAAGAACAGATCACACTTGGGTAATGAAGATAACAAATTATAGAAATTTGTAGAATGTGATTTTTTTCTTCAAGTAGCATGCTATTAAATTTACAATTCAGAAATAACATAATTTTATTAATATTTACCTAACTTGCATGATATTAATTTATAATTCGTAAATAACATCATTCTATCAATATTTATCTAACTAACACTATTTTTACCTACACGATTGGAATTCGGTTCCAAGAAGCCAAATTCTAACCTCACTAATTAATATAAATTTAAAAATAAAATAATATTTATTAAATATAATAATTAAATATAAATATATATTTTTTATATAAAATAAATATATAAATATTATATATATATATATATTTTAATTTATTTATATAATTATATGAAATAAATATAAATATATTTTTTTAAATAACATAAAAATATATTTATATAATTATATTATTAATATATTTTTTAAATATAGTACAAATATAATAAAAACAATAAAAATATTTATATATTTCTATAAAAAAATTATTTTTACTTATTAAAATTATTTTATATTAAAAATATATTTAAATAATATATATAATTTATTTATGTAAAAATGTTATATAAAAAGATATAAATATATATTTATTAAATTTTATTATATTTATAAAAATATAAATAAATATTTAAATATCATATATATGTATATATATTAAATATATTTATTTTTACTATATTTATAAAAATATATTAATAATATAATTATATAAATAATTTTTTTAAAACAATATATATATATATATATATATAATATTTATATATATTTTTTATAATATATATTTATATTTAATTATTATATTTAATAAATATTATTTTATTTTTAAAATTATATTAATTAGTGAGGTTGGAATTCGCCCTCCTAAAAATCGAATTCCAACTATGTAAGAAAATTGTGCGAATCAGGTAAATATTGATAGGATAATGTTATTTCTGGATTATAAATTTAATAGGATGCTAGTGAAGAAAAAAAATCTTGAAATGTTTGCCTTTTTATAAAAGTGTGTTACTCATGCAAATATTACATACAGTATGCTATATATGAAAATTTATGTTAAAATAATGCTAAGCGGAAAAAAATCTATGCATAATATTACTTCATCAACTTGTACCTTCATATTTAGTATTCTAAGACTCTATCTAGTTTTCAAAAATCATCTTGGGCTTGCTTGAATGTTGAATAAAATCTTTATCAAATCATATATTGAACTTGCTTGAGTCTTGAATGTTGTTGACTTGAATCATGATTAAAATCATCTTTTGGGAATATAGGGACATGTTTCACATTGTCATCAATCTCCCCCTCATTGATTTCACTTAATTCCTTAATCGTCACCACTCAACCCTTTTTATTAACAAACCAAGCATTCCAGTATCAATCCTCATTTTTTTAGAGATTTTTAAATAATATAATAATTATTTAAAATAATTTTTCATTAAGAAAAATCTTATTAGATAATGATAAATTACTTAAATTTTTTAATAATTAGTTTATTAAGTAACTTATAAAAATAGGAAATTATGAAAAATAAAAAAAATTATTTTTAAAAAATTATTAAAAAATTTAATAAAATAAATTTAATAATAAATTATTTAAAAATAATGTAACATGGTAAATATTTATTTTCCTAATTTTTTAAGATTAGAAGAAATGCCATGCCCTAGTTTGCTAATGTTTTTGAGTTTCACAGTCCTCTTCTCTTACTTAGAGTTTTTTTGCATCATTAATATTTTTAAAAAAATTCCCAAAATAGCATTTCCCCAACATTATTTATCCATTTAACACTATTTATTATTCACGTTTGGAATTCGATTTTCGGAAAACCGAATTCTGATCTACCATTTCTATTTTTTATTTTATTTTTTCAGTCAGAATTCGCTCTATCGAAAATCAAATTTTGAACTGGTTTTTGTATTTTTTTGTTTTTATTTTATTTTATTAATTTTATAAATAGATTTTTTTTATAATTCTAAATATAATTTATTTTTAAGTTTATAATTATTATTTTAATTTATGCAATATATATATATATATATAATTAATTAATTTGATGTTTTTATATATATAATTATAATTTATGTGATATATATAATTATAATTTATATAATATATATAATATTTAACATTAAAAATATATATATTTTTATTAATTTTATAATTATAATTTTTTTAAGGTTATAATTCTAAATATAAATTTTTTAACTTTATAATTATAATTTTATATAATATATATAATTTATAAATATTTTCTTTTTAATTTTAATTTGATATATATTTTTTATTTATAATTATTTAATGTATATTTGAAGTAATGTATTTATATGTTTATATATAATACTTTATAATTTTATTTGTATAAATAAAAAAATAATTACTCTAAATTAATCAAGTAAAGAAGAAATTTTATTAATTGGAAAACTCCTAAGTTTCATAGTACATTGAAACATTTCTTAATTAATACAATCTAATGATGCGAAGTAGATACATGTGCAACATTGAGACATGTTCTTCTGCTATGACCATGGGTATGACAAAATAAACATTTTTTCATCCTACTTTGATTTTCTGTAATATCTATCTTAGTTCTTATACGACTTGATTTTGGTTGGACCTTTGAAGTTTTTTTATTTCTGTATTATTACACAAAGTAGGTCCTGTGTATGTTGTCCGATATTCTTCATTTTGCAGCAACCAAAAATGTGTTTCGTATACTTTTGAAACTTATTGTAAGATATACACCAGATGAATGTAATTTCTAAAGTCATGGTGTACATGCTTACATGCAACAAGAACATGTGAACAAAACATGTAAAATTTATGGAATTTCTCACAGTCACAACACAACTTATTAAGGCGAACTACAAACCTCCCCATTGGTCGAACTTCACACAAGTTTTGTATTTCTTCTACTACAAATTGTGGTAGATATGTCAAAAGTTATGACCCTATACGTGTTCGCTTATGTTTGTGTTTCCTCTAAATTTGTGACCAAAATTTCAGAGTATACATGACTAAATTATTTTTGTATTAAATAATTTCTAAATAATTAATTATAATTAAAAAATATAAATATATAATTACGTTTTTATAATAAATTATATCTAAAATATATTAATATATTAATATATACATATATATATAATATTAAATAAAAAATAAAAATTTCATAATGTTAAAAATATAACATATTCAAAATATTATATATATAACATAAATTAAAATTATATATATTATATAAATTAAAATTATAAACTTATAAATAATTATAATTATTATCCTAAACTTAACAAAAACTTATAATTATAAAAGTAATAAAAAGAATAAAAATTTCTAAATCTATAAAAAAAATTAAAAAAACAATTCAAGACTGGGTTCCAAAATCAAATTCTAAACTAACACAATATAAATTATAAATTTTATATATATATATATATATATATTGCATAAATTAAAATAATAATAATAATTATAAACTTAAAAATAAATAAAATAAAAAAGTATTTTTTTTTAAATTACTGAATTTTAAACATAAATAATAAACTGTGCTAGATAAATAAATAATATTAAAAAGGGATGTTTTACGATTTTTTTTTAAAATATTAATTATGTAAAAAAGTTCCTACTTACCTCACAACTCACTCTCTCTGAATCGATCTAAATCTCTACCAGACCAAACCCCTGTTGCTCAATTCAGTCAATTCTCTCCCTAAGTTTCGTCATCTGCTTGTGGGTGGGTAAAGTTGTCGTTTTTGTCTTCTGGGTATGGCTGATTCTGCCGTTTCAATGTCTTTTTCTTCTTTTTGTTGTTATGTAATAGTGTATTGTCTGATTTCTCTTCGAATTGATGTTTTGAAATTGGGGTTGCTTCTTTTTGTTTTGGATGAATTTGGTTTTTCAGGTTTGGAGCAAAGAAGTGCATTGATGCAGAGCAATGTTGGCCTTCTCCAAGTTCAGGAAAGCAACGAAGATCCCCTGCGTAATCCGTCGAAACCTAAAGCCTCCTGCCTACTTCCGGAGATTTTCCTCTTGGTCCAAGGAACCTCTTTCTTCGAACCCGCAATTGCCTCTTCGTTTCTGCATCTGGGTGGCACTCAAGTTCGAGACTTTATCCACCAGCAATTACAGCGGCTTGGTAAGTGAGGTCCTTTGCACCAACAACTGGTTTTCCCTTTACTGGGAAGCCCTCGAGCATCTTAAGAAATCTGGGATTTTGATAACTTCTGATTTGGTTAGGGTTTTGATTGGGGCGTATTGGCGAGTAGGTCTCGCCGAAAAGGCTATAGAATCGTTCAGTAGAATGGGTGAGCTTGGTTGCATACCTGATGCTCGTGCTTATAACACCATTTTGGATATTGCGTTGAAGAAAGAGTTGTTTGTTTTGGTACTTGCGGTGTATAATATGATGCTTAAGTCCAATTGTTCTCCTAATGAGCACACCTATAATAAGTTGATTAGTGGGTTTTGTAGAAATGATGATGTTAAGGGTGCACTTGAGATTGTCGATGAGATGGGCGTAAAGGATGTAGCGCCGAGTGCGAAGACATTTTTCGCTATTTTTTCTGGTCTGTGTCATGGTAAGAGGGTAGATGAGGCACGCAGGTTGTTTAATTTGACAGAAGAAAGAGGGTGGAAGCCTGATTTGATGTCTTATTGTGTTTTTATTAATGGGTATTGCAAGTTGGGGAGGTTAGATGAAGCCATTTCGATTATGCGATTGTTAGAAAATGAAGGGTTAACCCTTGAACTAAAGGGCTATAGTCCTCTGATTGCTGGTTTTTTTAGGGAAAAGAGATACCAAGAAGCGCATTCGTGGTATGGAAGGATGCTTAAGAATGGTATTGTTCCAGATGTTGTTTTGTACACAATTATGATACGGGGTTTGTCGAGCGAGGGCAGGGTTGGTGAAGCTGTGAAGATGTTAGGTGAGATGACCCAGAGAGGAATAGTTCCTGATGCTGTTTGTTACAATGAAGTGATTAAAGGTCTTTGTGACGCTGGTCTTTTGGATCGAGCACAATCTCTCCAACTTGAAATTTCTGAACGTGAAGGGTTTCATAATGTTTGCACACATACCATTCTCATCTGTGACCTTTGTAAGAGAGGAATGGTTAATGAGGCACAAGAAATATTTAATCAGATGGAGAAGCTTGGATGTTTGCCTTCAGTTGTGACCTTCAATGCTCTCATAAATGGACTGTGCAAGGCTGGTAAACTGGAGGAGGCACACCTTTTATTGTACAAGATGGAGATTGGGAGAAGTCCTTCATTATTCTTCCGTCTTTCTCAGGGTTCTAGTCAGGTCTCAGATAGTGCTAGTCTCCAGAAAAAGGTGGAGCAAATGTGTGAGGCTGGACAACTTGTGGATGCGTACAAGTTTCTCATACAACTTGCCGACAGTGGGGTTGTGCCTGACATTGTGACGTACAATGTTCTAATCAACGGCCTTTGCAAGGCTTCTAAGGTCAATGGTGCTTTAAAGCTTTTCAAGGATATGCAAAACAAGGGGCTATCACCTGACTCTGTTACTTATGGGACACTGATTGATGGGCTTTTCAGGCTTGGCAGAGAAGAAGACGCCTTTAAGATGTATGAGCATATGTTGAAGCATGGGTGTCAACCTAGCTTTGAAGTTTATAAAGCACTTATGACTTGGTTGTCTAGAAATAGGAAGGTCTCACAGGCCTTCGGTCTTTATTTGGATTTTTTAAAGACTCTTCGTGGAAGGGAAGACAATTCAATCAATGCTTTAGAGGGATATTTTATCAAAGGAGAAGTGGAACAAGCAATTCAACGTTTACTTGAACTGGACTTCAGGTTCAGAGATTTTAATTTAGCTCCATATACCATTCTACTTATTGGGTTTTGTCAGGCAGAAAAATTAGACGAAGCATTAATTATATTTTCTGTTCTTGATAAGTTTAATATCAATATCAATCCTCCAAGCTGTGTACATTTGATCGAAGGACTCTGTAGAAAAGGAAGGCTGGATGATGCGGTAAGCATCTTCCTTTACACTCTTGACAAAGGTTTCATGTTGCGGCGAAGAATTTGTAAGCGGCTCCTCATGTGTCTTCTTCATTCCCCAGATAAAAGTCATTATGCTATTGATCTTGTTCGTAGGATGGAGTCTACTGGATACCGCATAAATTATTGGGTTGGTAAAGGATGCATCGTGTACAAAGCAGGAAAAATTCATTCTCTAAGAGATTCCATTACACTGACTGATCAAGATAAATAAATTTCTTTATTTAGCTCTTTGCACATTGTCATCAAGAAAAGAGATTATGAATCAGGGGACTCAATATCCTTTCTGAGCCAAAGGTGCCCTTTAATCCTTATTTATATCTTGAATGTTAAATTATGTCTTTCTAGACTTGGAATATAAAATTAAGATCAGTTGAAATTTATATTTCACATGCTTGCTTTCCAGATTTTACTTTACACTTAGATTTGAGTTGTCTATATGATGTGAACAAGTGAAATTTTATTCAGAAATATTATAGTTTATCTCTTTTATCTTAGTGAGAGTGATTCTCCTAAATTCTTGAGTGATTCAAGAACCCTTAGCTGTATCAAAGGATTTTCACATCCTTTGTGTGTTGCCTCCCTTGGAAAGAGTGATTCTTTCCTTCCCCATTCTTTCTAATTCCTAAATTTCTTATAAGGTTCTAACCCTAAAGATCCTAAATTACCCCTTATGATTCATATCATTTGGTATTAGAGTCCCGATTTAAGGTTTGAACATCAAATTGATGACAGAGGAGGATAAAAAGAAAATGAGAGAAATTTATTTTCAAGAAAAGAGAGAAAAAAAAAGCGTTGAGAAGAAAAAGAGTGATAAAAAAAAGAGTAAAACACTTGAAGTGAGGGAGAGTTATTTAGTCATAAAAAGTGAGTATAATGCTTATTCTACATTTAATTTGTCAGACTTATTTCTTTTTAATGTAGATGACGAATCCGATTTGAGGACAAATCCTTTTCAAGAGGGAGAGAATGATGTGAACTAGTAGAATTTTATTCAGAAATATTAGAGTTTATCTCTTTTATCTTAGTGAAATTGATTCTCTTAAATTCTTGAGTGATTCAAGAACCCATGATTGTATCAAAGGACTTTCACATCCTTTGTGTGTTGCCTCCCTTGGGAAGAGTGATTCTTTTCTTCCATATTCTTTCTAATTCCTAAATTTCTTATAAGGTTCTAATCCTAAAGATCCTAAATTACCCCTTGTGATTCATATCATTAGGGGTAATTTAGGATATTTAGGGTTAGAACCTTGTAAGAAATTTAGGAATCAGAAAGAAGGTGGAAGGAAAGAATAGAGTGAGTAGGAGAGTGTTTGTGCTTTAGATGTAGTGAAGCTTTACTGGTATTATTAAATAGTGATATAGAATTTTAGTAGAGAAAGAGAGAAGCAAAGAGACAGGACAAAAGGGGAAAAGGGAAGATCAGAGAGAATAGAGAGAAGTGGAGAGAAAGAGAGGTCAAAGAAACTGTGCATTGCACTTGATTATCATTTCAATCTATCTACATTCAGTCTAGATTTAGCTTTCTAGAATACAACAGCCTACCTTATTTATAGGCAGCGACCAAACAACTATGAACAAACAATAGCTGAGTAACTAATTAACTAACATCATGTTCTTATTTATATTTACATATCAAATAGAAACTGATATCACTTGTTATTGTGGTCTTTCCTTGACCTGAAACCAGAATACACATAATTTCTTTATTTTCTTCTGACTTCTGTAAGTTCTTCTACCCTTCTTTCCCAGTTGCATCGGCTTTGGGGAATTTTATGGTTTATTTGTGCATAACCTGCTGTGGCATTGAAGGTGTGTGACAATAATTTGATGGATTTTCTTCAAATTTGGAATTACCTGCATTGCCTGAAAATAAGATTTTTTTGAATAATGCTGGTAAACGGGAGTCTTACTACCAATATCCAGATATCATTACCAGCGCATCTTTGCTCAGACAGCCTGAAGTATTATATCTTTCCCTTTTCTTCTTTTTTAGTATTTCTTTGACTCCAAGTTTTCCTCAGAGGACTTGAGGTGTTACAAGATGCTTACTTTTGGAATTTGGGAAAAAAAAATTTATACATTCTGTTATCTTTTTATATCTAAGAATTTGCTTCTAGTTACTTTTATCTGTGCCAAGACATTGTCTTCTTCTTGGTTGTTCTCCACCAAATGATTTTTTTTCTCAGCTGGGGAGATTTTGTTTATTTTTATCCTGTTCAAAAGATGATCGTTGTTTCTGTAGTCTGTAGCCTTTTTTATTAATAAGGGAAAGGAGGCTTTCATTTGCTCATGAGTTTACAGCATTTGAAAATCCTTAGATTTTATTTTTTATATATATTTCCTTCTTTTTAGTATAACATTTGAAATGATTGCTTTTCTGGTTTCTGTAAATGAGTTACTGAAAATTTCGGATGAGTGCAATAGACGAATTTTCATCTCAAGTTTTGTTTCATGGACTTGTCTTATTTTATTTGTGCTCTTTTTGGATTCTTATGGATTTAAAAAAAAAATATCATGGTTTCTTCAATCCCGAAGAATAATAATTTGATATTGTAGATTATAAACAACTGTGCATATGCTGGTATTGAGGGTCTAAACTGGCTTTATATGGGTAATCGGTCTATATTGAAGTGCTTTGTTTAGTATTGGTTATTATCATATAAAAATGAAAGGAATATATAGATACCAAAATAATTTGGTCGCCACTTGAAATTCAAATTTGGATATCCAGTCCATGGTTGGATTCGTGTTGGAGGGTTTTGGGATGATTTTCTATGAGATTGATTATCTGTAAAGTGCATTGAAGATGTTGGCACATTACTGATGCCATTATGCATGACAATTTTTCTCTGGAAAATTAGATTAAATGAAATCTTATTTTATTATTTTAATACAAAGAGATCATACAATATACATATAGGAGACCTAAGCTATTTTAAGAAATATAATAACTCTATTTTATTCTAAGATCCCTTGATTTATGGGATTGTTCCTAATTATTCAAATCTGTATAGATTACAAATTTCCTAATTTATTCTTTCCTAAAATACTATTTGATTTCCCACACTCCTCCTCAAGCTGGTGAATAGGTGTTTTCCATTCCCAACTTGAATACAATCTTCTCAAAATTGTGGCAGTCCATTCCCTTGGTAAGAATGTCTGCAATTTGGTCTTGAGAGGACACATATGGAGTGTATATCAAGCCACTATCAAGCTTTTCTTTTGATGAAGTGTCTGTCTACTTCAATATGTTTTGTTCTATCATGCTGCACTGGGTTGTGGGCTATGCTGATTGCTGACTTATTATCACAATAGAACTTTATAGGTTCTTCCCATTTTATCCTCAAGTCTTTTAAGATGATATTAAGCCATAACAACTCACATATACCTTGTGCCATGACTCGGAATTCCGCTTCAGCACTGGACCGAGCCATTACACCCTGCTTTTTGCTTCTCCAAGTCACAATTTCCTCCAAGAAAGGTGCAATATCCTGTAGTTGACCTCTTATTCACAATTGACCCTGCATAATCAGCATCAGTATATGCTTCAAGCTTCACATTACCATTCCTTTTGAATAGAATCCCTTTTCCTGGAGTTCTTTCAAGGTATTGTAAAATTCTGTGAGTTGCTTGTAAATGGATCTCTTTTGGGTTATGCATAAATTGACTAATTAAACTCACTACATTGGCAATATCTGGCTTGGTATGTGACAAATATATAAGTCTGCCCATTAATCGCTGGTACATATCTTTTTCAATAGCAACATCTTCTGCATTTCCAAGCTTTAGGTTTGGTTCTAATGGGGTACTAGCAGGTTTCCAAGCTGCCTTGCCAGTTTCCTTGAGCAAATCAGTGATGTATTTCTGTTGAGATATAAATATCCCTTTCTTGGAGTGGGCAACTTCAATTCCCAAAAAATATTTTAGTTTTCCCAAGGTCTTGATCTCAAATTCCTTGCCTAAGCATTGGCTCAACAATTGCTGCTCTTCTTTATTATCTTCAGTTAATATTATGTCATCCACATAGACCAATAATATTGTTACTCCCCCTGACTTTGAATGTTTAAAGAATAAAGTATGGTCCTCTTGGCTTTGTTTGTAACCTAGACCTATCATAACTTTAGTAAACCTGCCAAACCATGTACCGGGGGACTGTTTTAGCCCATGTAATGCCTTTTTAAACTTGTAAACAGTGTTGACAACGACATCTCGTTTAGTGCAATGCAGCAGCAATGCAGGTTGTCGTCTTAGGGTTAAGAAAAATGCAGCAGCAATACAAGCTGTCGTTTTAGGGTTTATAGTGCGCAGACAGAACTTCCTAGATCGGAAGCTCTGATACCATCTGGAAAATTAGATTAAATGAAATCTTATTTTATTATTTTAATACAAAGAGATCATACAATATATATATACAGGAGACCTAAACTATTTTAGAAAATATAATAACCCTATTTTATTCCAGGATCCCTTGATTTATGGGATTGTTCCTAATTATTCAAATCTGTATATATTACAAATTTCTTAATTTATTTTCTCCTAAAATACTAATTGATTTCCCACAATTTCCTTAACTTCTTGCTGGGCTCATGTTGCTTTGGAAAATTATTTTGCTTTGATATTTTGTGGGCTTGTCATCACATGGCTGTACCATTCGATTGAAGCATTTTTAGGGTTTCTTTTATTGTATGCTTCATTACATTTTTTTCCTTTGTGTTTATAAAGCATTTCGGCAAACCTTGGCACAGAGGAGGGAAAGGAGACTTCCATTGTCCATATGGGTGTTCTTTGGTGATATCTCACATTGTACACCGGCAGGCAAAGGCGAATTTCTTAGTCAGTATCTGATTCTGAATGGAACTTTATATTAATAGAATTGCATGGTGTTCCTAATGGATTCCAGGTCTTTTTCACATTTTAATATGCAATGATCAAATTTAGTGAAGTTTAGACACGATTACATGTCTTTATGCCAAAAGAAGAGATTTAGTTTATTACTTCAGTATAACTTATCAAAAGCTAGGTTTAGTTGTATATTTATTACTAGGTTGGTTATCATTGATTATGATTCTCTTTGTAAATGAATTCTATGCCTCACACCGTTGATTGCTTACGTAACATGATGTTCTAAAATGTCGTTTATGTAGTCTGACAATCACAGCCCAATTCCCTGAAGGGCTGCCACCAAACATGCAAAGATGTCAAATATGTTTTAGGGGCATACAGAAAAGTCCTTTATCAGATATGTCTGCTGCACAGCCCCAAGAGGATTATGATTATAATTATTTATTAGTTTATAATTTAATTTCAATTTTGAGAAGCTGATTCTGACCACAAACCCCGAGTTATGACTTATATTGTCATCAATTTAACCCGTTTACTGTTGCAAATGTTGTTGTTCCTTTTTCTGAGCGCAGTTTTCATTCTTCAATATCCAGGTAAGTCAATCTTCTGTCCTACGATGCAATATTGTTTTTATTATTACCATTTTAGTTGATAGAACACGTGGAAATTCATGTCCAGTGAATAAAGCTCTACTGCTTAGTACTTTCTGAAAACTTTGTTTTGTAATATTTGTTCTTTGATTTACTGTAAGACCGCGGAAAGGAAAAGAAAACACAAGGAAAGATGACCTTTTGTTCAATATTCGAGTCATATCTTTCCCCTTTTTTCTAAACAATTTACAATACATCAATAATTAATGTCTGCTTTGATTTTTAATTTAAATCCTTGCCCTGCACAACTATTTGCTGTTCTCTACAGTCTATTTATATAGAACCACACTCTATACTGAATTCTTGAATACTGAGTTTGATTATTGTTTTGCAGCCTCAGTTTTATTGTGTTCAACTCATGGCTATTATTGCAATATTGGTATGTTTATTGTTTTTTGTGTTTTATTATTACTTTTAGCCTTGTGGTGAGGTTGAGTGTTCTAATTCCTGCAAGATTGAGCTGTAACATAACTGTGCTCATCATCCTTTTTGCTCGGATTACCCTCCGTGTGTCCCTTTGATGAACCATCGAGCACTTGGATATTGATTGTCACATGGTTTGAGGATGCTGCTCTTCTGATTTAATGAAGCTTCTTCCTATGACTACTTCAGATCAAACAACAGACATTTTTACCAAGGATTATTTTCGCAGGTTTACATACTTCTGTTCCAAGCTGAATTTGATTAACATTTGGAGGGGTAATAGTTGTTTGAGGATAGTTAAACAAGCAGTTAGGAGGTAGTCATGCCTATAGTTTGTACAAATTAGTTTAAATTGAAGAACAAATTTATTTAAGGAGGTGATTTCCATTGTCTAGAAATAGGACTAAAATAGACAAACAAATTAAATGCAAATTTTACATTACAAGTTAGTCACGTAAGATTTAGTTAGGTTTAAACTCATTTTTTTAGAACGATATCAAAATCTATTTTAGAAAAAATTATTGGGTCTATTGTATCATTTGTTATTGGTCATTATTGAACTACCTATAAATATTTAATCTATGGTCAAGATGTCTAGTTTTCTGCATGAGAAGGTATGTTAGAAGATCCTAAATTATCTTAGATATGACTAAAATAAGGTACTTGAGTAAGAAAAATGATCTTATAAATTAGTTTTATAAGATCAAATTAGGTTAGTTATATAAGAATGAGTTAGATCTTAAACCATTTTGCAAGAGCATATAAAATTGAGATCCACGGAAGGGCAAACAAAATCTGTGCATTGGACAAGGTTCTTATCACCACTAAAAATTCACTGATTTTATGTAAAATTTGCTGTAAAATTTATATGCAAGAAATGAGATTTGTTTTTATAAAAAAAATTCACATAAAAGAGTTACAATTTTATTTTTATTTTTTACAAAAAATGAGATTTTTTTTTATAAAAATTAATTATAAAAAATTCCTTCAAAATTTATTATGTTAATTATATTTAGATTTTTTTTACAAATAAAAATTTACAAGATGTTTGTTAGGAATGAAAAATTATTTCTTAGAAATTTTTTTTATAAAAAAAATTTCACCAAAAAAATTTCAATAAATAGGAACACAATTTAAAAAAGATGTTTGCCAAATAATTTTTTATTTATTCTTAAAAAAATAAAACAATTCTCTCCGTTAGATTCTACACCTTCCCCCTCTGTCCACTGCAACGAGCTTCTCAAACCCTCATCTACGTTGTGTTCAGTTACCATTTCATCGTGTTTGTCAACGTTTTAATGGAGAGGGTGATTATAGTATCTCGTTCCTTTATCCTGTCTTATGTTATTTAATATGGTTTAAAGTTATTTTATGTATTGTTTTTATATTAAAATCTTAAGATGGTATAAAAAGAAAAACTTAACTTATGATTTAAATACTTATTAGAGTTTTAACCACCGAACGTTATTAATGTTAGTTTTCCTACGTGGTTTGTTGTGATCATCGTGCTTCTAATTTTTGAGTTTTTTTCCTATCATATTTTTAGGTTTTATTGTGTCCTTTTAATGTTGAGTTGGTTTCTTTTAGTATTAATTTTTTATTGTCCTTGTGTTAGGGTTTTTGGGTATGATGAGAGTTTGGGATTAGTGAAATTTGTATGAAATGCATTTTAGTCCTGAACTTACATTGATGTGGAATTCGTCAAAATTTGTGATTCCTTGTTCGATTTTGTGAAGATGAGATATGGTCCTTGTTGCTTTGGCCTGACGCACACCTCAAACTTCTTTTGATATTGTTTGCTAAAGATGCTTCTTGGCTATAAATGATTATTACGAAATGTCCTTGTTGTTTTGGAAGTTGTTTTTTCAAATACGTTAAAAAGTGCTTATCAGAAGTTGATTTACTGATATAGAAATCTTTAAAGATGCTTTTGTTGGAAAATGATAGTATCTAAAACAAAAACTAGTTCAGATGTTAAAAAAGTGTCTAAACTAAAAGAGAAAGTGGAGAGGATAACGCAGAAGGAGGGAGGTTTTATGCCTATTACCGATTCATCCACACAAATCAGTTGGGCTATGTCTACTTCCTATCTCTCTCATTACCCAAGGAATTCTCAATCCTGTATAAGCTCAACTATAGTTCACCAGTTGTTTCATGTACATGAACTAATCCAATTACGTTGGTGTGTCCCCATATTTGTTTTCACATGTTTTACCAACTTGAAGCTGCATGAGAAACAAAAAAAAGGACTATTGATTTAGCATGAAGTGTAGTATGTAAATGTACATTGCAGCCTTAGGCTATATTTGGATTCAAAGTGAGGTAGAATGAAATGAAGTAAACAAAATGAACATACTGATCTCTACCCAGGGTTTGGATAATTTTAAGTTCAAAACAGAAAAATATTCATCTTCTGCACATATGCTGGCAACTTCTTCAAATATTCTATTACCTCATCCAACATTGAAGCTTTATTAGTCTCCATAAAAAGTTAAAGAAAATTCATGCATACAACATATATGAAATTCTATATGTAGCAAAACCACATAGAATATCAAAATAAACTCGCAGTATTAGGAACCCTAATAACCACAATAAAAAATCCCCAGTAGAATTTATGATAAAAGAATAATGCGACGAACCAAAATTTGAGGTCAAGGATCCTCAACATGTAGTTTTTTTTAGAAGAATATATTTTGCAATTTTTACATTGCAGAAAAATGTTTCCTACGAATTTGTGTTTTTGCATAAAAACATTTTTTGTGAATTTTTTTTGGACAAATTTCATACGAAACTTTTTTCTTTTCAGAAAATTTTACATGAAAATGTCTTATAAAATTTATATTTTCAAGTAAGTGATTATCAAATCAAAATTTTTAAAAGATTAAAAAAAAAATCATTTCTTACAAATTTTAATAAAAATTTTGCTCAAAGGAGGCATAAATATTAGGCGAGTGAGAATATCTACATGTAGATATTTTATTGATACGAGTGTTTCAGCAAGGGAAGTCTCAATCTTGGTGTCTTACTCATAATAAGGCTAAATTCATTGTTGAATAACACAGGTCGTTTGAGTGAACGATTGTTTCTGTAACACTTCAATATTTTTAGGGTAGAAATTTTAAATTAAGAAGCCACTTCCAAGAGTAGATTTAAGTATGTAACTTTATATATGCGCAATTCTTATATACTTCGTGAGTTGAGAATGTTTCATGGGTTTAATGAAAACATGAAATGCAATGCTGCGTTTAGAACAGAAACTTTAGTGGATTTTGAGCCGAAGGATAGGAGAAAAATTAAGCATGGATCAACTTTGCATTTTGCATTCCAGATATTATAAAGAAGTCTACAATTATGGTGAATTATTAGCAAAATTGCTTATTTCGTACGTTATTTTCTATATATGCCAATATCATAATGAATATGCTTGAAAAATGTCCAATCTTGTGCAATATCATGGGACCTGGGACCATCCCAGCAAGGGTGGCAATCCATGTAGGAATATCAGATATGTAGAAACCTGTCAATCACAAATAGCATTGCATCTCATCATCACAAAATGTTACAATAGATGAAAAGCATGTGGGGGTGACAAAAACTATTCCATATGTAATGCAGATTCGCAGAAACATAACAACACAATATAGCAGAAAGACAGGAACACTTGCCTCAGTTGTCAAGTTTCACGGAGGGAACGTACACGATTTTGAATCAAGTTTCTTTCCCAGTCTGCTATATCCTCAAACGCATATTCTGGAAGATTCTCAAATGGCTCCTTGCATGGATCATTCTTAGCCAAATCATAGGTAGCTCCACGTATTGCTGTTTTGTTTGGTCCACAAGGTCTCTTTGAAGTTAGCATATCATATGCTCCATTTAGCTGTTCAAAGAAAAATGCCACATTCACTTCTTGAAAAAGTTATACTCATCATTTAAGAGAACCGTGAAGCAATGTATCGCCACCAAGTGGATGATGTGCAACCAAAACACTTGTGAAAAAGTTAGTGGGGAAATTGTTTTGGAGTCAGATATAAGGTGAGGATTTTAGGACTCACATTCATGCCACAAAACCAGAACAAATAAGCAATTGCCACCGCTGGAGCTCTTCCAAGCCCTGCAGTACAATGTACATAAACTCTTCCTTTCCCCTCAGAAACAGCCCAATTTAAGGATGCAACTGCTTTAGGTAGTTCACTTCGCAAGGATCCTGGATCAAAGTCTTTTGCCTAATAATGTTGAAAAAAGAAAAAAAGTGACATTAATTTTAATGTAAGAACAAGTCAAGAAAAAAAAACCATGGAATACAGCCAATTACATTGAAAAAGTAAATGGGTCCTTTAGGTGGGCTAGTGATTAAACTAGTCATGACAACTCAAAACTGTTGGCAAAAGGCAAATGGAGCAATTAATAAACTCGATACATTTTTATGTAGATGAATATTCAAGGTTCTTAGTAATTTTCTTCTATGTATCTATAGATTCAAACACTTATGTCTTATAAAAGATTCATGTCTCATTTTATCACATATACCAAGAGGTGTCCTGCATAGTATAAATAATGAGCCGAATCTATCAAACAAGTCAAGTTTTGTGTATTCCCACTTATTTATCTCAGCTCCTTCAAAATATATACTTCCTAATTCCTTTTGGCTAGTCAAATGTTGTCTATCTAGATTATCACAATACGAGAGAGATTTTTTTTCTTTATCCTCGATCAATTTAAAGAAAACAGGCTTGCTTACCGGTCTTCTCATGTGGATAATTTCAAGTTCATGACACCTTCTTATTATTGACTGCAAATCTACTCCCCAATACTCTACATCCTTATCCTGTTGCAAATTTAGAATGTATGCCACACCCTCTTCTTTTTTGAGGTGATCTATGTCTTCGGGTTTCTGCGGTTGGGAGCCCACGATCAAGTAGTCCGTTATAAGAGTATAATTCATACCTGAAAATCAGCAATCTCTGGTTGCATCAGTTGAAAGATATACCGTTTAAGGAAAGATTACTATTGGAAGTGGAGAATGTTGCACTTCTGACAGGATATAAGGTTGGCTTAGTGGTAAAAGTGGAAGAGAGAAGAAGATAGGTTGTAGATTCTGAGTCCTTGTTAATAAAAATTAACATAACCACAATTTTTTTATTAAAAAAATATAAGAGAAAATAATATTGGTGACCAAATAGTGTATATAAGTGGAGGAAAATATCTCAGAAGCTAGCTTAGAGTTCACCTAGGCACAAAATTCAAATATCAAAATGATAAGTAGGAGGTTTTTTGAGATTAAGTTAAGCCTAAAGACAAATTCTAAGAACTAATAAGAAAAACTGATCTTTCAAGGAAAATTTATATCCATTAAGTTAAAGTATGTACACTCTATATCACGAATTAAAATTAAACTTTACACAGCAATATGGCGTACATACACCTTGCAGAATAGAGTTGGGGGATGGGATACCAAGAATCTCAACCTCATCACAAAAGAGAACCACTTCAAAAAAGTAATGAATGCAAAGTAAATTTTCAATATCTGTCTCTCTTAGTGTAAGACCCTCTTCAATTTGAAGATAAAATAATTGAAGATTGCGAGTACAATCAACGGAATGAGGAAAGAATCACACTATCATCGCTAATATAGCACCAATAGTTAACAAAATCCCACCTGCAAGATCATTCATTCCCCTCACAGATCCCTCACATTTCTCAATATCATAACCATATGAGACAAGGGTAGAGCAAAAGGCGCAAACAAAGGTACTAGGTAGCGTATGTTGAGGGGGTATAAAAACGGTAAAGAGATGAAACTGACCCAGATCATGGTGATACTCATAAGGGTTCCTCATCATTCTCTTCATAGCTATGTTGTACTCCTCCATCCTGTCCTTGGTCTTGTAAATCCTCTTGCTGGGGGTGGTGAGGTTCTCCTGAATCCCACTTTCTGACAGTTTACAACATATTGGAGTGAGGCTAACAGAGTAGTTAAGATAAGGAGGAACTATATATCCGCATGGTGATTTGTTCCGAATCTGCTTTGAAAGGAGTTGCGTATCCAAAGGTACTTTGAACACTGAAGCGAAGCCAATGTTACTAACGCTGCCCATTTCTCGTTTGTTTGTTTGTTTGTTGTATCAGGTTGGTTCTAGGCTGTTCTTATGTGACATGACATCATTAACCATTACGAAACTGTTTTTACCAGAATAACCTTGGATATTATAGCTACGAAGCCAATTAGGGTGGTCTCAAAAGTGAGCCAGAGTTAAAAGCAGGTGACCTCAATCTAATTTACATTATGACGCACAAGAATAGTGGATTGGATATTACTAAATGGGCCAACAATAAGCCCGATAACAATGCGAGTCTCAATCCATGGACCTGGGCTCATCAATTAGTCCAGAATGAGGGCCCTCTATCAAAGCTTGAACAGTGAAAACATGCATGCTCTCTACTACCGTGTTTCTTCTTACACCCTATGAATTTTGTTTTCGGCATATAAAACATAAATTCGAAAAACTATACCAGAATAAATAAATAGGAGGTATCCAATTTTTTATTTTTTTTATAAAAGTGTAAAAAAACAATCTTTATGAGATTGGACAACTCCACTGGTCCACTCAAGGGTTTATATTATTTTTTATTGTTTTAAAAAATATCACAAGTATAAATTCATATTTTAAAAAATATTGTAGAAAGAAATACGTTGATTTAATAATATTTTTCATTAGATTATTTTTCTGATCTTTTTTAATTTCGTTCAATTACTGTTTTTAGTATTAATTTAATTTTTAAAAATCTATGAATAAGCATAATCATGTTATATTTTAAATTAGATTAGAAATAAGGAGTTAATTATAAAATAGATAACATTAATAATGAAATTAAATTGAAAGAACAGAAATAATAATACAAAATGAAATTGTGTGAGGTGAAACTGAAATATAGAGATTTGGTCTATCACGCTGGGTCTCTCATGCTCTGTCCTTTCTCCTGAATTATACATCCTTCACTCTCATTGCATGTGTCTCCAACGTACTACTACTTCCCCTGATCCGACCTGAAAGGACCATTTTCATTTTATATATCTAGTACAATTAACACTAAATAAGTCAATATAATTTCTATTTTTTTAATTCATTTTGTAAAATTAAGTTATGAATTTATTATTTTTAATATCGTATCAAAATTATCTGGTAACAAGATTGTAGGTCTTCAAAATCTTACTGATATTTCATTTTGGACAAATAAGTCTTATTGAATTAAATGGACAAGTAAGATTATTATTGAAAACTCATTATTAAAAAAAACTTTTGTTTGAATGAAGCATGAACCAATATGAATAACTGAGACAAAAATGATTGAGAGTCCAAGTTAAAATCTTACATTGAATAAAAATAAGAAAATTGACTAAATTATAAATGAGAAAAATTAATAATTTAATATTTTATGATTTTAAATTAAAAATCGGATCATATATTTTTTTATGATAATTCAGTACCATTCATTAAGAATTTTTTATGTTAATTAATCTTCTTTATAATACCCACTAAAGATTTTATTACTTGAAATTTTTTTATCACACTCTTTTATCTCAATAATTTTTTTTTATCATGTTTTATTATATAAATAAAAAAATCAAATTAAATATGGATATATTTATGCGACTCAATATCTTCTTCATGGTCACTAAAGAAACCAATATTTATTATTAAGAACATTGAAAAAAAAAGTTTAAATGATTCAAACTTTTTATTTTATTCCAAATTTTCTGTTTTGGTATCTTTTCAAAATTTTACTGTTGTAAAAAAGGTAATGCTTTTATTTTGAATATACATAGTTAAATTACTAGTCACAAAATAACAGGTTTAAAAGATAATATTGAAAACTTCTCAGAAATTAAAAAAAAAAAATTCTCCTGATGACTTTGAGAGGTCAAAAAATATATCTTACACCTAATTATAGTATATTCTTTAACTATGCCTTTAATCAAAGACTAAACAAAATGAATAATGCATGGGAAAAAAACAACACTGGTAATTGATATTTGGCAACAATTATCGTGCTTGATCATCAAGAACTTCATCTTGTACCTCCATAATTAGGGTAAGGTTACAATATAAACTCTTATAACCAAACTTGCTCTTACTTTTTTTTTTCTTAAATTTCTATCAAGATTCCACCAAATTAATGCCTCTCTCTCTTATTGCTTTCTTCCTTTTAAAAGTTTAAACTTAAAATCGATTGAAAACTATGATCAAAGAATATAATATATTGTATGAGCCCATTGCAGGTGATAATTATTTCATTCTTTTGTCTGTGATAAACACTATTTCTCTAACCAATAAATATTTGTGATTTTTTCTAAATAATTATAATTTGGTTAAAAGTATTTATGCAGAATATTGAAAATATTATAAAATATGTATGAATGATTATCCAATCCGTCCAAGAATCTTATGGTATTGGTTGGCATGAGGCAGAAGAAGATGATGAAGGAGAAGTGATTAATTGGATGTATGTGGCAGTTGAACTCAGAAACCATCTGTGTGTCATCAAGTCTCACGTTATGACTACAGATTTGACAGAGCTCAAATCCAGGATTTTAACGTTTATCGTTTTTATAGGATTCCTAATCCCACTCTGTCCCTTTCATACTTGCAGATAAGGTAGCACACCAGTGTCCAGCTTCACAACTTTTCCACCTAATCCCACTCTTCAATTCATGTTTACACCCTTTTTCTATAATAAATATCAAATTTCATGCTACTTCTTCTTCATACCAGGTATTAAACCCAATGCTTTAATTATTAAACTCATGTCTTATTAATCTTGTGTTCTTCCTAATAAATCCTCGACCTAGTTCCGAAAGCAACACCCTGTACTGTGAAATCTCTGTGACAACTTTTGTTCATGTTGTTCCTGCAAGTTCAGTTCGGAGTTCAAATTGAATTATTTTTTTATGTGATATCCAAGGATATACCAAAATATAAAAATATCTGTATTTTTCTCTGCCTTTTAATAAACATATCTGTTTAAGTGGGTTTGATCAGTTATTTATGTGGTCGAGGTGGGGCTTGGAATGTTGTTGCCATTTTATGAGCATCACGTGTCCATTTAGCAACGGTTCTGGAGTGTCATTTCAGATGAGAATCCCACTAGATGGCTCTTCTTCCTATGGCAAACAACTGAGTTTTTTTTTTTTTGTTTTTTTCACACCACCACGTTGTGCATATCAGATGAGCAACAGACCAAGAATATGTTCAGTATTCCAATTTCTAACATTTTCGTAGCAATCAAGAAACGGAATAACCATCCATTTAGCCAGAATTAGTGTGAGAATAGAGGTTTTTGAACCCAATGAATCTCATAATTTAACATGGGGAATCATCTTGTGAAGGTACTCTGGTACGTGTTCAACTATTAAAGTCTCTGATATTGTTGGCTAAAGTCCCCTTTGCTTAATAAAAAGAAGGTCCTAGACAGGTGGATGGTCTCCGTTATCTTTACTAATTCCCCACTCCAAACTCTCTTCTTCTTACATACATTGTCATACTCCCGTTGCACCCCCTTTCAAATTTCCAAGAAAAAAAATTTATCTTTTACTAAAAATATGAACAACTTGAAGAATTATTTTATAATTTTACACGTTTAGATTTTAAAGCATAGTGTGAAATCTAAATTGGACATTCAACGTGGGTTAGGTCTATTGGTTGAAGTCTTAAATAAGGTCATGTGGTGAAAGGAGGGATTCCCACGTGATCCTTTCAATTCCAGATTTCGTATTTAGAAGGGAGAACAGGTTACCAATTTCATCTGCAACTTCTCATCCTTCGCTGTTCTCTTCGGGCCCAATCGTTCCAATCTGCACACTACCAAAAATATTAATTATTATAACTTAACAATTGATTTAATCAATAAATATAATTTTACATTTTTTTTCACCAAACGAAAAATCTCTTACGTATTTTTTGAGAGATTAAAAAGATATTATTAAAATTAGAATATGAGTAAATCATTGTGTCACCGTCAATCATATAAAAAAAATTAAATGATACTAGAGAATATAATATTATTTTTAATATAACATATATGATAGCGTTAGGATATGAGTATTTTTAAATTATTTAATTTTTTCATTTTAATCTAATACGAAATTTTAACTCATACTTAAATTTTAAATCGTCTTTCTTATTATTAAGTGTGATTTCCTTCACATTGATACATTATCTCTTCAAACGGAAACATAATCAAGTATTCAGTAATAACTTTACTTGTTTTGTCGTTTAACTTAACGAAACTCGTTTGTGTGAAACCCTTGTAAAAAAAAATTTCAAAACAATAACTTTTTACCTATTATAATTATACTCAATTGAGTCGATCACCGTATAAATCATTCCTTCTAATACGATTACTCTAATCATACTCAAATATTAAATATAGCTTCTAATACCATTACTCTAATCATACTCAAATATAAAAGATTGGTGATAAAATGATTAATTGAGTTATAACTATTTTAAAAAATATTAAAAGAAATTACATTTTATATATTTATAAGATAATAGAACTAACTTGAAAGAATAAGAAAATATTTAAAAGAAAAAGAAAAACGGTGTTGTTAGTTAGGTTAGGTTGGTTTCAATGAATTTGAAAATGCTTGATTTGATATATGATTTGATAATAACTAATGATCATGGGCCATACTTTTTTTAATCTTTATCAACTTAAATATCGATATTAAGACTAATTAGGTCAGGTTCAAAATTCTACTTGCGTGGTACCTATTTTTGTTTATTTCTTACTCTCGTATGTATAACATTTAAAGCATAAAACCATTAATTTATAACGATTAATATTTTTTCCGAATTAAGAATGTACTTGTTTTGAACTAAACATCTTCAATAAAATTGAAACAATTGATATGATGATTTCTTTTTCTCCTTGGATTGGATGGATAGGTGTAGGACCGGTTTAAGGGTATTTCATTTTTATGAGGCATAATAAGAGTAAAATACAAGAGATTAAAATATTATTAATTTTAATTTGAACGAATTTATCTTAAATTTAAAAAGCTAAAATATAATTTGGTATAATTTTTTTTTCAGATTATATTCTGCATCGTAATTATTTTTTTTATAAGTGTCTAATAGGAGTATGAATGAAATAAATAATTTTTATAATATTTTTATAAACAAAGCATTATAGGAAAAACAAATATCGCTATAATTTTATAGAAATATGAAAAGCGTTTGATACTTACTACTATACAAGTCCTTACAGAATTCAATAAAAAGATTGAAGGGAAAATTATATTTTCTATCTTTCTATTTTCTTCGAAAATAATTGTTAGGTTTTGAATTGAAGATGTGTTTCTGGTGGAATTTCGATCGATTTCGATTCTAAGGGTATTTTGGTCTTTAATCGAAATCCTCCCACGTAAGCTCTTTTTACTTAGGCTAGCAATTTGATTTTTAATCGAAAACGTGTATGAGAATAGAAGATCACAGGATATCGAAAGCGCTGTTTTTGATGTTTTGTATTTAAGGTCTCGAAAGCATTAAGACTATCGAATCGAAAAAGCAGAATGTTAAATAGCGAGGAAACGTAAAGTGCGAAAACCCCAAACTTGCATTAATTGTAAATAGCAAGAAATCGAAAACAACGCAAATATAAATGACAAGAAATCGAGATTGCAAGAAAAGTAAATGACAGGAAATTGAGATTTGCAGGATGTTAAATAACAGGAAACCTAAATGCATAAACTTAAATTTGCATTGAATTGAAATGGACAAGGAATCTAAAATACAGAAACATAAGACTGCTGAATTTAAGTTGCATCAAAGTAAATTACCAAGGAAAATACAGAAAGCGGTAAATGTACTCAGTGAGCAAGGAAATCCAGATTGTCAGAAGCTTCATGGTGTTCGTCGTTTCTCCGGTAGACTTTTCACTACTGATTCTGTTCTCTGCCAATTTTTGCTCCCCCTTTGTTCCTTTCTCCTTTGCTCTATTTATAGGGCATCCTTCAAGCCTTCCGAGAGCAGTTAACGCGACTGCTACCACGTTCTACGTGCGTATGACAGTTTATCTTCTATAGTTTCTCACGTTCTCACGATCTCCGACTTTTTCCCATGATTTCAAAACTGCTCTCTATACGTGCATTCGACTTACTTCCCTTCACAATTTGGCCAAAGTCTCGATGTCCACATTGGCTTTCTTTACTCTCGATTCTGTATTTTTCGAGAACTTCGAATTGCTCACGATTCTTTTTTAACCCTGGTCTTATATGACTTAGTTTTTATTCGACAACAGTCATTTGATTATAATTCATTCGATTCTCGATTGTGTTTCTCGATGTTATATGCTACGTATTTCTAATTAGACATCGAATGAACTTTTGTTTATCTTATCGAGTCATATTTCTTCCCTTCGATTTCGATCGCTTTTCTCGATTTGCCACTAACAAAATGCCCCCTTGGAAGAATATAAATGATTTCTGTTTTATATTCTTTCAATATTCTCGCCTTAGTGTTTGAAAGCCCACAGGATTTAGGGTTTAGGGTTTCTGGGGTTCTAGGGTTAAAAAGGGTTTTAGGTTTCTTTTCCACTTTACGTCGCCGTCTCGTCAGTCTGTTGCCTTTCAGTACAAGTTACATTAATTACCTTTCCCTTCCGTCGTTTCCAACTCCCTAGACGATTTTCCCCTTAACCTCTCTCTTAGTCTTCACTCTGGTTTTTACGCGAACCATTACCTTCTGTGCAATCTTATCTTCTCCCTTGAGCTCCTGCCTTCGTCCCTGTTACCTCATCGGTTAATTCTTCCCTTTCTGTTTTCCTAAGCTCACTGCAATGGCCACCTCGTCGAAATCTTCTGACTTCTCCGTTCCACCCCTTTCCTCATTGCCTTCCAACCTGCTGGAGATTAATAACCAGAAGTTCGCTCCAGTCCCTTTGATGGAGGAGGCTTCCCGCAAAATTGCTGAAACGCAGGTACTTATCCCTTACACTCGCTGAGGGGGTTAATTTTGCTTTTGGGGGTCCACTTCGTCCTATAGATGACATTTTCTCCCCTCTCAACCTCTCGATTAGCCCGGCTCTTGTACATCATCCTGAGGTTAGGGTTGATTTTCTGAATCTTACCTCTAAGGTATATAGAACAGGCCCTCCTTCTAAAAAATCTTCCTTCATTAGGTGGTTTGATAGGGTAAAGACTAAGTTTGGGAGCCACTGGAAGGATGTTGGAATTTTCGACTTTTTGCACCTGTCTCGATGCGATCTGTCGTTTTTGGATATGGAAATGTTTCTATCTGCAGTGCACTTATGGAACAAGGATTTACATGCTTTGGAGTTGCCTTGTGGCCCACTTTCACCCACCCTTTTTGAGGTCGCGGCTATTACTAGCTTGAAACCTACGGGGGAAAAATACTTCAAGGGTACATGTCCTTCGGATAATTCTCTGAAGTCTAAAATTGATTGGGAATCGAAGGCCTATGGTCATTTTCTTGAGAAGCATTTTATCGATGACCCTTCGATAGCTGTTACTGATGAAGAGCACGTGGCATTTTTAGTGTATTGGCTGTGTACCCACGTCTTCTGCCCCCGATCGATCCAAATTTCCCCCCATCTTTTTGACCTTGCATATGTCCTGCACATAGGCCAGCCTAGGATATGTTTGGCTAAGTTGCTACTAGCTCATGTGTATGCGACTTTCGACGAGGCTGTTGAAATTTTGAACACACCTAAAGCATCGGGGAACTTTTCAGGCCCCGTTTGGTTTGTACAGTTATGGCTCACTTCGATCTTTGAGAGTGTCCTTCCTCGAATTTCTTCCGTCCCCCCGAGTGTAAATATAGAAGGGGCCCGATTATCCTCTCGTCACCCTCGCCATAAGTCTGATGAAACTACCTACTGTAAATACCTTCAATTTTTGTTAACCAGATTCACTTTCGACTCAACCTTGGCCCCATTTACTGTACATCTTGGACAAACAAGTGGCCAACTTAGGGGGCCGATTTGGTTTAAATCAAAATTTCCTGCCTCGACTCCTGGGTTGCAATCAGAACTGATTGATGTATGGAGCAATTATTTGACCCATGATGTTTTGGTGTCGGGTTTTCAGTCGAAGGATTTTAAGCTTGTCACCTATTACCCCCAGCTTTTCTCGAGACAATTTGGGTTGAGCCAATCTTTGCCCTTCTTCTCTCTCGATACCTCCCCAAAGTCCAAGCTAACTGAATCCACAATTAGTCGGGAGCTTGTTGAGCTTTTACCAAAAACCCCGATGCACTTTTACCCCTATGCTTTCGAGTCAAATTATTTATCTACTGTGGGTTTTTCTCAATGGTGGGCCGGTTGGTTCTCGAGTAGTCATGCTACTTTTGATGAAGTTCGACAGAAACTGACTACTCAACCTTCTCTTGTGTTGCAGGACAAGTCAAAATCGAAGAAAGGTACACACTTCCACTGTCTTCAAATATCTCGATTCGAGAACTTTTATCAAATATGTTACACCCCACTGAAATTAGAATCGACCTATTATGATGTTGTTATCTCCTTATCCAATAAAACGGACATTAATCGATCGAACCACAAAATAATCAATCCTTTAGGTAGAACTCCTTTTGAAATATATTGTCCAAATCGCCTTCCTACTTTTCCCACAGCTCCTTTTGGACTTGCCAAACCATTAACTCATCCAAAATGGGTTCGAGAATTGAGAACCCTCGTGGAAACACGTCGCCCAAAACTCCAAAAACAAAGATATTTCGTCTCGAAATTATCTTATTTCCCTTACCTTAACCTCCCCGAGGCTCTTTTGCCTTCCCGGCTTGTACATATCGACCGAGTCAAGATCTTGACTCCATCACCTTTTGGTGAGATTTTACTGCTTTCTTATACTTTTTTGATTCTGTATATTATAAGCTAATCTGTCTTCTTTTATTGGCAGCTTCGAAATCTACTAAGGTCACCGTTGTCGAGAAGGGTCAAGAGAAGGGACAAGAGGACTGGGGATCCTCGAGTGAGTCTGACCCATCAACCTTGATCAGAAAACGCAGACGCTCGGCCACCATTCCTACTTCTTCGACAAAATCAAAGGTTCCTTTTGACTTCTGTTTTGTCCTATTCATTTTTCTCGTTTGATAAATCCATATTCTTATACTTATCTCTTTTCGATCTTCTATTTTCGAAACAAAAATCGAAGAGTCCTCGATCTGTTCAACCAGCTGCTCTTGATCCATTGTCGACGGACTCTAATACGATCCCCACGACAACACCTGCCACCCGTTCAAGTCACGTAAGTTTCCTTCTTTATACGAATTCTATGTTCTTAAGTCTCGATAAAATTTGTAACATGGTTTCAAAATTTGATTTTCAGGATCTTCCATCGGAGACTGTATCGACGAATGTCGAGTCTCAACTATTAGCACCCCTCACTGAGGTATCTTATATATCATTGTATGATTGCTTTAACTTTTTGTGCATTTCTTGTTCTAATAATGGTTTTCGATTTACAGACAACCCGAGGTCGCATGCATTCTTCCTCCCGCCTCGGCACCACTTGCTCTACCTCCCCCGGTATTTATACTTTTCATTGTCACCTTTTCATTTCATTCTATTATGAACCTCTCGATTTACATTCTCGATTCCTTTCTTTTCAGTAAATATTCCAATAATCGAAGTTCAAGGTTCTCCTTCCCCTGTTTCTGCGGAGCAAGAGGATTCTCCTCCTTTTGCGATGCCCCCTATCGAGTTGCTCTCGGCGTCATTACCAGAGATAGATGTGCCTGCTCCGAGCACTGTGTTAGAATATCGAGCTGCAATCGAAGAAGACCCTTTTTCTATCCTCGATATTCTACTATCTACCGAAGCGACACCGTCGAGCTCTTCTAAGACGCCCATGACTTCATCTGAAGGACCATACCAGCTCGAAGCAACGCTTCCGATCTTTCTTTTATTCCTCGCCCTCGAAATTTTGGTGGAGTCGCGTGATAAGAAAAGGCAGTTTCAAGATATTATCACCGCCCTCGAGACGTGTCCCGATGATGATCTTCCAATGGGTCTCGATGCGGAAGTCGCGGCGGCCGCCGATTTGTTCAATAAGGCATATGCGGCGAGGAAGAAAA